CTTTCAGGCTCATCACAATTCTGTTACTTTTCATGCTTCATAATATGTGCGTCAAAAATCACCCATAGGTCCACAGGGAAGAACAGCACCAGGATCTATTTCTTCAGCAACGATTTTTTCCTTAGAGGTCTCTCGTCCAGTCAGGACCAGTCAGGATCAGGACCAGTCTGGATTATCAGACTGCAAGGCGTTATTGCTGCAGTCAGACATCAGAGACACAGACTGTTTTGTAGCACGACCTTTTTTTGAAGTACACATAAATCTCACATAAGTCATCTGCTCTCATGAAGTGAAATATAAAAATTTATTTCTGGCAAGTTGTTTTATACAAAAATAGTTGCAGAACACCACCGTTCACAATATGTATATACAATCAGCATTTAACAAACATGTTCCTGAATAGTTTTAGCGTGAAAAATAAAAAGAATCCCACGATGAGAGCAGACTCACAAGGTCTGACAGTGGTCAAAGCCCGTGCTGACCTGGGCACTGGCACCAGTTTCCACACAAGCTTGTAAACAAATACTCTTGTAAATACTTCAAGTACAAAGAGAGACATTCTGCATTTCCTAAAAAGCAAAGGACTGTTTTCAGATGCTTTGTTTGAAGGTTGCCCTCTGTGCTGGTGAACTTCAGAACGTATGTACTTAGTCCGAGAATAACCTGAGATAAGGAGTGGGTCTGCAGGTCGTTCCCCTCTCCCGTCGCCAGGGTCACATAGGACTGCATGACCCTCTGCTGAAGAAAACCAAGTCCTGCATTTCTGGAGCTGGTAACAGAGCAGCTTAAGGGCATTTTTCCATGTGTTTTTATACACACACAGGAAACAGATTTAAGAATAATATGGATTGACATTTGGACAAAAGTTAGACAGGGTTTATGTCTGGTAAGTTTTTAGTGTGCTTGCTGACAATGAAGCTCCATCCTCAAATTCAGACAAGCTCTCTTAAACCACAGGCTTCCGAAGGGCTGAAGTGCAAGTTCAGTGCATTCCTGTACTTATATCTGTACAGCAGCGCAGGTATTTCACATTCTGAAAGACAACCGTTTGAAAATCTGAAGGCGTGTTGCACATCCTGTTCCCTCGCAGGCCTCTCATCACAGTAATCCTCCTCCAGGATCCCTTGTGTGTCTGAATCCCATTTCCCATCATCTCCCCCAGCATCGGAAGCCCACGGACAAGCTTGACCAACTGCCCGTGAAGGCCTGTGGCACAGGATGCTGCGACGCGCTTGGCAGAAGCAATTTAATGCCAGACGAGTTTATATCAGTCTTCCTGTTCCGGCCAGCGGCCGTGTTGGAAAAGTGGGAGGAAGAGGGAAAGCACAGCTACCAGGAAGCTATTCCCGTGAGGAGCGTCTCCAGCTATACTAACGCCTGGGAACAGAGAGAGACACTCACAAGCACCACTCCAGTGTGCAGGCAGTGAGGTTACCGATGAAAGCAATGAGTGGAATGTCAGTGCCGTCTCATTTCCCTGCAGGAATTCTGCAGACACTCTTTGGCGAGAGCTCTGGGGTCTCGCCGGCAGCTCAGACGCGCGGGATCATGTGGTGTGTGGGCGTCGCAGGGGAGCATGTGACCAGTTCTTAACAAAACACGCTCCACTGAAGAAAATCCCACCCAGGAAACGCGTAGCAGGAGTCCCTTGGAAACACGTTCCAGCTGCATACATCAGGCCCCCGAAACGCAGGCTTCGCAAGCACGCCGAGCTACTTCTTGTCGACCTTCAGCTCCTTCTCCAGGAATCTCTTCTTGTACTCCTGAAAGGTGGCATCAGCAGTGGTCTTGGAGGAGGGCGTGAGAAGTGGGGAGGCCGCCCCCGGAGACGTCGGCTCTTTCTCTGGTGATCTGCCTTCTGAGCTCTGGGACCAGTAACCTGCCGAGAGACGATTCGGAAAGATTAACCACAGCTCACGAGTTCGCTTTCCCAGGTCTTCCTGGGAAAAACACTTCATGCAAAACGCCTGGGTCATGTTAACTCTGAGCAGACCGACGAGCTTCTGTCCGAATTCCCTCGGCCAGCAGAGCCGAGAGTGCAGTGAGCCCTGTGCATGCCGGGGAAGAAGGTGGGAAAAGTGGAAAGCTCCAACTGTAAACCTGCACAGCAGAAGCTGAAATGCTTTCATATTATCACTGAACAATGTTCAACGATGTTCCTGTCCTCCCTTATTATTTTGTCGATTAACTTGTTGTTTGTGCCATTTTAGCCAGAGAGCAGCAGTGATTCTCACTTTCTTCCCTGTTCACAATGCCTGTTCTCCCTCCATGTACAGACCGAGGGTGATGTAATTAGTGCATCAGGTACCTGGATTAGGACCACTGCTCCTTCCTATTTATATCATTGATCTAGACTGAGCAATCTGATCACAAAATAAAAGGAGATGGAGCAAAAGAGATTCAGACCAAACTCTGGAGTAAGCAAACAGCTGGCAGGTAGGATTTGCTGTTGATAGCTGGAGGGTGTTGCATGTAGGTAGCAAAAACAAAATACACTGCCTACAGAAAGACTGTGCACCCTTTCCAAAGTAACATAATTTGTGGTCTAACAGACTGAAAATCAAGACACTAAATCAATTTATTTTACCTTTATTTTCTTATTGTAACACAATTCCCAAGTGAAAAAACAAATGGTCAGACATTCTGAGTAATAATTACAAATGTGTTACTTTGGAAAGGGTGTTTAGACTTTCTACAGGCAGCGCACATGTACACAGTCAGAAACTCTGTGGCAACTCTCTATGTACAACAAAAAGTCAATGTAATATGCAGTTAAAAGATATTTATTCTACAGGCTAATTGCAAAGAGCCTCATCGGTCTTAACTGGAGGAATGAAAATCCTCAAAGGCATCGGTAAAGACAGTAAACATCTACGGGATCAAACAAACATTCGCGACACAAGTGAGGCATGAACAAGATGACAAGTGGAATCTCTGAACGCTACTTTTTCTTCTTCTTTCGCTGCTTAAGCTCAAGAAACAGCTGCACAACCTTGAACTCCAGCAGACCGCATTGTTTAGATTACTGAACAGTAAAAACAGCTCTAAAAAACAGAGCGCCACTTGAGTCTGAAAAGTTTTCGTTCAGCAGTTTGGCAAAGAGGTCACACTGAGCCTCGCTCAGCTTATCTCATGATAACTCCCTGCACCTGGCGCTTAGCTCATCTATTTCCATCAGGTTTCCAGGTCATGAGAACCTGAGCTGTCATATCCTCCTGTGGGCTTTCCTGACGTTTTTACTTGGACCAGAGACCATGCTGACAGAACCTGAATGGATCTGTACATTACGGAGTCAGAATCCGTACAGGGGAAGTCTGTATCTCTGCATCCAGAACTCTTGGATCTGCAGCGTTGCCCAGTTCAGAGTCCTGAGTGGAGATTTCCACAATAGGCCAGAAGGCTTCATCTCTTCACACCCCTGTGCCAGCCAGGGACCCAGTGACAGGGTGGCATGTTGAATTAAAATAAATGTAAGGCAGAAAACACAAGCAGACTGTCCTTGCTATCTGTCATAGTCAGAGATGAAAACATTGCAAAAGGGGGAATTCTTGTCCATAAGACAGAATATGGGGAATGGGTATATCATATGTGGGATATAACTATATAAAATTATCCATGAGTTAACAGTCTTACTATGCCAAAGTGAGCAGACCACAAAATGAAAATGCAAAATAACGATTGCTATCAATGAATAAGCAAAACACGTTTGGCAAAAAAGCAAAATTGTTCACTAATCACCAAATCACAGATGACCGCTTGGGAGACCAACAGCTGGGATACCCTGCACTAAATTTGAGAAAATCTTTCCCAGAAAACTGTCCAGATGAATCTCTGTTCTCAGCCTCTCTCATCACAGAGGGACACAGTCTTACCTTTTATCTTCCATTGCTTGGGCTTTGAAGATCCAGCCTGCATTCCTGTTTCCCTCAGACTTCCAGCTCCTGGAGAAAAACACGTGTCATGAACAGGACACCCATTGCAACAGAAAAGGCTGTTTTATGTTACTTTATGTTTCAAAGGAAAGAATGACGAGGAACACTTACTCTTTACTGAATTGGGGTGTTGCCTGCTTTCCTTTTTCAAGCTGCCCTCATCTTTAAAGCCAAACAGATCCCCGGTGTCTGGCCACAGCTTGAACTGCAGAAGCTTGTCTTTCTCCGCCGTAGTGGGGCTCCCAGAAGCGGACACCCTTTTTGTGAAAGCCTCTTGCATGATAGAGGGACGCTTCCTCTTCCGGACCAAGCAGATGGGCGCCACTGTACCCTGACTCTTGGTGCGCTCCTTGTGCTGCAGTTTGCGAAAAGCAATTTGCTTCTGCTCGTGCTGTGAGGCTCTTCTCCTCAAGACCGATTTCTTCACATCTCCACAAGTCTTGATGTCTGAATCGCTTTGCTCGTTCAGGCTAAGAACACTCTTTGAACAGGACTTAGGATTCTCTGTTTTTAACTGTGAGCCCTTCTTTCGTCTGTGTTGGTCCATCGGTTTGTAATATCTGTCAGTGCCCTTAAAATCCACAACCCTCCGGTGCAATGAGCCTTGGGAGTATTCCGATGGGTGCTCTGTTGTCATGTGGTTGTCTGGTCCCTTGTTTCCAAGACTTTGCTTGGTTTTGGACTGCTGTGGCCTTCCTGAGCATTTTGTCTGGCTTTTCTTCTCTTCTTTCGCTTCAAGCCCTACTTCAGAAAGTCTGTTCTTGTTCAACAGGACATGCTCCTTTGGAAGTGCTGCCTTCTCTGCACAGTCCTTTTTGCTACGAATGGTGAATTCAATCACTGGAGGAGGGTTTATCTTCCGTCTAAGAGCAAGATTGCCATCAGAACTTCTGACTTCTAGACTTGAATTAGAGCCGGACCCAAACAGCACCAGGCTCACTGTCCTCTCCCCTCTCTTCTCTGATCCGGCTGGTCCCGTTTCCGACGAGCTCTTTTTCTTTGATAAAGGTTCTTTCTCTTCCTTTGGTGTTTGTTTTGCATCAGCTGAGGAGTGGACCGCAAGATGCAATTTAGCCAATCTGGATGGTGGGCAATCAAAGCCATCTTCTCTCTCACGCTTCCTGCCTTCTGATTTATGTCCTTTATCGTGCTTATTTCCAGGACCTCCAGCAGAGCTGGTGCCCGATGCTACGCTTACGACAACTTGAGCGTTTTGCCCTTCAGTTCTTCTGCGACTCGGAGGCGATTTCTTGGCTACAGAGGGAATCAGAATCTCGCGGTCAACCTCTCCCTTTCTACCCTGTCCAGATTCTCCACCGCCGACCCTGTCCAGATTCTCCCCTTTGTGACTTTGGCTCCTCTTGAGTGGGGCTGGGAGCTGGAGGAGCTTCACCACACAGTCCCGCCTCCGCCCTTTACCAGACGTCAGATCTTCCCCTCTTTGGCGTTTATGGGGAACTTCAGATTCACCTTGCCTTTCAGGAGCAGCTTTTTGAGAAGACTTGAACCGCGATCTTAATATTTTGCCATTCAGCTCTTTGTGCTTCACAGCAGCAATGGTTGTGTGCTCAGCTCCTAAATCCATTTCTCCCTTTTGCACTTCAGTTACTTGTGCAAGATCCCTGCTTGCCACTGGAGTTTGCAATTGTGGCTCAGTTACTCGAGGGAGGTCCCCTGCCCCTGGTAACTGCTCTGGAGAGCTCTCAGCACACACTTTGACAAGTCCGCCTCCATTTCCAGTGGAAGGGGTCCGGCCTGTTAAATGCTCCTTCTCCGACTTGGAGCGGAACTGACAGTTGCAGCTCGGGCTCAGGGGAGAACCGGTATAATCTTCCAGCAAGCGAAGGAGACAGCAGTAGTTCTCAGGGATCACTTCTCGCTGGACTGGAGTTTCCACAGGTGGACTGCCTTTCAGCTCCTCTTTACCAGATTCATTCAGAATCACACTGAAGATCTCATTGCCAGGTTGTACAACTGTGACCTGGGTATTACACAGGGCATCCTCAATGTTAGCACTCTCAGTTTCTGCAGGAGGCGCCAAATCCTCTGTCTGTTCACAGGTAGTGAGTGAAGCAGCTTCCAAGTTCTGCATCTCTTGGACGTGTGATGTACTGCTTTCTGTTTCAGTCATCTGGTATTTGAGCAGCAGGCAGAGAGGAAAGCCACACTCTTTATCTATATCATCAAGCTTCTCGTTGAGATTTAACCATGTGGACTTGTACTCCTCTACAACACACGGAACAGCACTGGGTCCAACAGTTATGCAATGTGGGGCTATTTTTTCAAAACAATCAGGCTTTACTTCAGAAAATATTACAGACTGTTGGTCCAGAGTGATGCCAGAGCTCCAGAAGTTCACAATTGACTCAATTTCATGATCAGATTCACGTGGATCTAAAGGCTCATCATTTCTAACAGCCCAGCGCTGGTTTGCTACTTCCTCCACCCCATAACACCCTGGATCACGAGCTACACAATCATGAAACAAATTCACCAGCTGTTGTATTCTCTCAAGTGTCCACTCTTTCACAGGCACAGAGGCCAAAGTGCATGTGCTCAGATTTGAATCTGGACCTAGGCTGTCTTCATTCTTCCCACTCTGCTGCTTTTCACAGCTATGTGGACCAGAACTGAGCCCAACAAGGCTTCCCACGGAGTGACCACCAGGTGATGCTTGACTTTCTGTGCAGTGTGCTGGAGTGATCTTGAATGGCTGATCCCTCCATGATCCGGGAGGAGCTCTCAGGCTGGGAGATTCTGCAGATGTCTGCGCGACCTCTGCCGTCGCTGGAGCTTCAACACCTTTTGCTGGGGGACTTTTAGAGGAGATCTCCTGCGCAACTTTTCCATCAGAATGTGCACTTGCAAGGGAACTAACAAAGTCCTCCTTAATGGGCAGCTCAGAACAACTGGCATGATCTTCTAGCTGGGACCACACGTTCAGAATTTTAAATGGGAGATCGTGATCCGCGTTCAGGAAGGCTCTCAATTTTTCCGGCGATGCCACATATTTCTGCGTTATCGGAGGCACAATGGCAATCTGTGGTTCGCTTGCCCGCGATAAGGAAGAACAAAGCAATTTCCCGATTAGGCTATGACTATACTCCTCTTTCCCAGGCGTAGCATATTCCCCTCTGGCAGGTGTGCCAACATCCTTCGGAGACTCATTTTGGCTCGGGGATAAATTGGCAGTTTGGGTCTGTGCTGGCATGTTGGTAGGAGACATGTCTGTCTGGCTTGTTTTACATTTTGACAGAAATGCGCACAGCACCTCTGCTACACCCTTTCTGAGCTCGTTCCTTAACTTAACATCCGACGCTCTCATCTTCTGTGGAACAGGACCAGTGGGCAGAGCTGTGGATGCCATGCTACTACCCACTAGCTGCCCACTAACTGTATGGTCCCTCAGAAAGCTGTTTTCCTGGGTGTGTCTGTGCTGCTGAAAAACGGAGCTCCTTCCTGCCCCTTGAGACAAGCCTCTCTGCTGGACTGCAGGGGGCAACGGCAGAGCGGCGGGCTGGTCTGAAACGTGTGCGGCGGACATCGGTCCCGGAGCTTCGGGGCCTCTCCCTCGTAGGAGCGAGTCCGACGAGGAGCCCCGACCGGACGAGCCTCGTCTCCGCCCGGGCAGCTGCCGAGTGCCGCCGGCGGAAGACGGCTTGTCAATCAAAATCACATTGTGAGCCGTAAACCCCTCGCCTCGGGTATCCTTCTTCACGGTCACTAAATAGGACTGCTCCAGCCCTCTCGGGTAAGGAGGGGGCGGCAGCCCTGCCGGGGGGAGCGAGTTGCATGTCGGGGTGTTGGACACGGAGGCGGAGGGCGTGAAGGTTGGTGTGTTAGTGCCGGTTTTGACCTGAGGGAAGTGGGGGAGCTGTGGCTGTGCCTCCCTGTTTAATCCAGACGACGGCCATGTGGAATTGGAGTTTGTTTCAGGGGGTTTCCCGGCGTCGTGGCGGATGTTCTCGGACAAAGCACCGTGGCCCCGGCCGCTGTCCAGGCTTCCGGAGGCCCCCGAGACCGTGCTATCACCTCGGGAGGCCGCTGCCTCTAGAGCGCCCATGCCCCCATCTCCACCCAAGAAGCCCGGTCTGGTGGGGGTCTGCTGGCCAGCATGGCAAGGAGCGCGCCCGAACTGGCTGGACGTCAAAGCCGGGAGAAAACGTCCATTTACAGTGATGCTTTCTGCAGCTTCACGGGCATTCTGGGAAACATTTACAGTGGGATTTACAGCCCCAAAGGGCTGATTGCTTGGAAAACCACTGTTCCGCACGTCCCCAAGAGGAGAAACTGTATCGGAGTTTTCCGCTGGTCGGTTTGGAATATTCTGGGGACGGTCACTCGCTTTGCCTTGCAAACAGGCCTGGCTGGCGGGGTACCTCTGCTGCCCTGCCTGAAGAGCGATACCAGCTGCGCTGCCGTCCCCCAGAGAGGAAAAGGGGTATGAATAGTAACTCCACTGCCTCGGCTGGCCCTGTGGCGCGGACGGAGAAGGGCTCCATGCTTGAGCATCACTGCTGGAGGCCCCTGCTAAACCCTGAGCACCAGCCCTGCTGAAGGCTTCTGTGCGGGGTCCAGGCTGCTGAAGCACGTGGTACTGCTGCTGCCCACTCCATCCCGACCTGCCGTGCCCACCGGGAGCACCCTGATTGTGCAACTGGAATGGAAGAGCAAGCGAGGGGTGTCTGCCGTAGTTCGGCCGGCCGGTGGAGGAGGAGACACGGTTCCAGCCGTGTTCCTGTTGCGCCACAAGGCCGCTGCTCTTGGACGGTTCGTGGTTTCCTCCAGGCGCAACCGGATTCCTACTGAACACCACCCTGTTGGGCGCAAATGCCGTGTTGTGAAACTGCCCGTTGGCAAAGTGGACAGCGCGATGGGGTCTTGCGGACTGGGCGGGAGCACCGAACTGGTCAGGCTGTCTTCTGGAGGGGGCCGCGGGGTTTTGGTGCACTATTTTGTAGGGCGCCTGTGGCCCGTGTGCCCCTGGAGCAGAGCCCTCGGCGTACATCCTCTCCGTCACAAACTGCTGCAGGACCGCCAAGGCAGCGTCCTGCGGAGAGCCGGGGGCGCTGGCGGGTCCGGCGGACCCAGCGCCCGCAGGGGCAGCAAGGGCATGGTGGCTCAACGCCGAGGCGGAGGGGGAGCCGCGGGGCGCCTGGAAGAGCGCGGGCTGTGGCCTCTGTGGGACCCACACGTCGGAGGCCTGCATCGTCCGCTGCTGCCCGAGACCGGAGAGGAGCTGCCCAGCGACGGCTCGCGCTTGATCTGCCCCTTGGCGTCACGCCTCCTGGAAAATAAAACCAAGACACGAGTTGTTCAAATTATCAAAGGGATGCAAAAAAGACGTGGTCCGGTATTACGGGGGAGGCTGTATGTTCCTGTTGTAGCAGCAAGGTCTTCATGTGGTAGAATCCCAGCGTTCAGAGATTAGAGGAATCTAAATTCTGTTGCCTTGAACGGAAAACGACCTGGTGCAGTTCAGCTCCCATGACTCATCTGCTAAGGAATGCTGGTAAAATGAGTCCGACAAGCAGGATGTGGTGAAGACTCAAGACACAAACCAGGATGTCAGAAATTCAATCAGTTCTGACACCCCCCAGTGTCCACACCAGCACCTCCCTGTCTACAATCTCGAGAGACGGACATCTAAACCCAGAAGCCTTGGAGTCACCTGTCCAGCTGGGGTGCCACTGGCAGGGCTGGGATAACCCACCCACATGGGATCAGCTGGGTGGGGAAGACCTGCACCCACCCCTGATGACATCACAACCAATCAGCACGATGCTTCGGCCTAGAGGAATTCTGCACTGCAGTGCTCTCTAAACTTCTGGCCCCTAGTCAGAAAAAAGGGCTTCTGGGTTGGCATGTGTCGAAGAAAAGTCTTCACTCAGGTTAGGTGTGGTCAAGCAGAGTCCCTTTATCCATGCGCATGGGGAGGATATAATCATACAGATCTGAGAGCAGCCTCTCATACAGATCTGTGAGTAACCTCTCCAGCGAGATGATAAATGCAATGAGTTTTATACAGCAAATTCACACAGGAAAGCTCATTCTAAGTTTCCATATTAGGAGTTGTTTTTCTCTCTACAAACATTTCTTTGTAATTGACCACGTTCTTTTTAAGAAGCAGTTCCACCTTGCATACAGACAAAAGGAAGTATATAAATAAAAGTTGTGAAATGAGCTAGGCATTCTGCAATTTGTAATATTAATGTCAAAAGGTCAAATAATATGCTTGAATTATCCTTTTATACTGTTGCTAAGCAAAAAGCATATGAGCTAATAAAATAGTCACTATTTTATATACTTAATAAAAAAGGCAAATGCTTAAATTCTTCCTCACATGAGTGTGGCCATCGTCTGACCCAGGAGGGTTTAAGCCAACTTAGCTCCAAGTAAACCACCAGTACAGAGAGACTGTATGTGCACCATAATTCCACCTATGAGTGCTTCTATATATAGGTCTTACAACGACCTTCCCAGTTGTAATTTTGCCTGATCATATTGGTTTATGTTGCATATTTTATTAATAAGAAGTATATTGCATCCTTTGAATCAGTGCGTGTCTCCATTCATTACAATAGTTATTACGTAGTTATTCCTGCCGATGATTGTAAATCTGCATAATGAACGGACCTATTTCATGTCTGTTCAATACAATGTATCTGCCACAAAATAGACTGTCACTTTCCTGAGAATTGAATCTGCAGACCCCCCCCAGGCACACACACACAATCCTTTGTGTGAATGGCCTCCTGCTCTCAGTTTTAAATGTTCTTTCCCTTCATGGCTCCACCTTCAGGCACCTGAAAAATGGGCTGTAACTGCAGCCTTGCAGTCCAAGCCGGACAGCTCTGCTGTCTACCGTGCTGTACTGATCCTTTGCAGGAGAAAGGATTGCTGGTTATATTTTGAGGAATAAGAGGAAGGAGCTCCTGGAGTGTTTGTACACAAGGTCTGCTCCCCTGTTTCGGCCACCTGCCATGTGTATCTATCAGCAGCGGCCAGAGACAGACTTCTCCACCAATAAGTTGCCCCAGTGAGGCCCCACTTTCACTGCTGGCAAGACGCAGTGCACTCCCCACGTGCAAAGCCTTTTTCAGGATATCTGATAACTTGCAAGACACTAGCACTCAAAGTCTTATAAGATAAGATAACTTTATTGACCATATACAATTTCTTGTATTAGGAATATGTCTTTTCGCAGACCCCAGCTTGCTCTCCATGAGACACACGGACAGGAAGAGAGAAGTTGGGGGTCAGAGCGCAGGGTCAGCAATTTATACAGCACCCCTGGAGCAGTTGGGGTGAAGGGCCTTGCTCAGGGGCCCAAGGGAGTAGGATTCCTGTGCCGGCCGCGGGATTTTAACTGGCAACCTTCCAGCCACAGGCGCAGATCCTGAGCCACAGAGCCACCGCTCCGCCCCTGATATAACACATCTGCCAAGACACGTGTGTGCCCAGTGCGATTACGTTTACTTGGCACACAAGCTGCAGAATCTCTGAACGCTACTTTTTCTTCTTCTTCTTTCGCTGCTTAAACTCAAGAAACAGCTGCACAACCTTGAACTCCAGCAGACCGCATTGTTTAGATTACTGAACAGAGTGATCTAAAAAACAGAGCACCACTTAAGTCTGAAAAGTTTTCATTCAGCAGTTTTGGCAAAGAGGTCACACTGAGCCTCGTTCAGTTTATCTCATGACAACTCACATTTACTTGGCACACAAGCTGCAGAATCCTGCACACACTGAAGCCTATCTAGTAACGCGAGAAGGCACATGTCCTAGGATTTCGATTTGGGTGTGGGCAAAGGGAGGACTGTAAATCTGGTGAAATCCTGTCAGGGGGACAGACACCCCTGGTGTGCAAGTTACATACCCCCATACATATGTGACTTTAAAGCTGCCCAAAGAATACCTATCTCCCCTTGCAGTTTCAGCCTTTGCCAAGCTCCAGACACCCAGCAACACCACCCCCACGCAGGACAGCCAAACTACAAGGGCTTCCCAGCTCTTTCGCACAGCGCAGCTCCGCGTGGGGACGGCAGGGGTCAGCTGGTTTCATGCCCAGGCGGTTTTCATCCTGTTCCAGTTTATCCTGAAGAAATGACTGTAGCGGCAATGCTTGTTAATAAGACAGAATTAAGTGTTGCTGTGCTTTCCCAAATGAGGCCCCATCTCTCTGTTCATCTCTGTGGTGCAGCCACAGAGAAACTATTCATGCAGGCTGATTTAAAGATGTTTTCTTTTGATAAGGGACAGCTCCCAAATGGGGATGCACTTAGCTAAGCCTAGCTATCATGATCAATGGTCATCCATTGGCGCCTATCTGTCTAGGGAGTGCCAGATGGACATCTGGACTGCATTCCTAAGTGTCAGGAGTAAGTGACTCATATCTCACCTTGATCAACCAATCAGGGACTGGTAGGGCCGAGTAACCCACGTGGGACTCTGATGCCCATGGAACTTTCAGCCAATGAACGAGCTGAAGTTCCTCCAGGTAAAAACAGGCAACACAGAGGGCCTGAGAGATTCAGATTCAGATTCAGATTAAGGGAATTCAAAGGAGAATTCCAGGGCAGGACGGCCCAGGAGCAGAAGGCTCCCAAGGGCAGGACATTCTCGCAAAGTGGAACCAGAGACTCAATTTGTTACAAGCAGTACAGGGTTTTTATGAGACGTTGCGCTGTAAAAAAGCACTGTCCCTTCTAACACTTCCCCTTTCCCTAAGACAAAACAGATTACATCATAAAACGAAAGAAGAAGCACCACTAGATTTGTTTTTCAAAGCTTATCAGTTACTTTCAGCTAATCTAATGACCTAGACAGCATGTATTGTTTTGGTACATTGTCTTCTAAAGTAACCTAAACAGTGTACTTTGTTGATGCACGTACTTTAACAACACAGTTACATCCTTGAAATATATTTTCTAAAAGCACCAATATATTTTTTGCAAAGCTCTCTACATTTTAAGAATCAATTTACTTATTAGATTTCCATTTCAGATGGCAGCCGGAGTGCACCAAAACCCTCCCCACGCACTCCATCTCTCAGTGGGGAGGAGACAGTGTGATGGAGCCAATTCCAATAAAACCTAATAAAATTGCATTCCTCCATACCTGTGACCCGAGGCTAATCTATCATAATAAAATATCTTTTAAAAGTCGCTTCCCAAACCACTTTGCAGGGCGACAACAATAAAAAAAAATACACCAGATATGCAGAATGAGAATACACAATGAGAGGAGAGAGTAGATGGGGGTACTGAATACAGCAGGAGCAGAGGGGTAAATAAGAGAACCAGTTCAGTAAAGAAGGAGGCTGGATTTGAAGGTGTTTAGAGAAGGTGACTCTCTGATATCCTTGGGGAGACAGTGTCAGAGGTTTGGGGTGCAACAGGAGAAGACCCCGTCACCTATAGAGCGAAGACAGGCTTGGGGGACAGATAGGAGACCAGAATTAGAAGAGCGAAGGTTGTGAGGTGGGGAGTAGGACAGTAGTAGCTCAGACAGGTCCAGAGGTGCCAAGCCACGCAGAGCCTTATAGGCGAGCATGAAAATTCTGTCAATACGAAACTTGACAGGAAGCCAGTGCAAGGACTCCAGGATAGGAGTAATGGGATCACCTTCTCTAGACCTGGTCAGGATTCGGTCTGCCAAAGTTTAGACATACTGGAGTTTGTTTAATGTGGATCTAGGAACCCCAGCGAGACTTGAACCACTACATTTCCACTACCATCCCAGCAGAAGAACATAGGCTAATGACAAATTCATGATTGGTCAATCAACTGTCTAGTCTATGGTCTCCCCAGAGCAAGAACTGTGCAAAGTAAAGGAGTTATTTCTTTTCTGTCAGAAAGTAGACTAGAGCCTGGAGAGGGATCTCATGTGGGGTCACAAGGAACAGTATTAGTTGTGCATTATTTTCCACTTTCACTGTTTGATGACAGATACTTAAAATTCTGATAAAACCTATTCTTCACTCACACAATAATTCAGAACACTGATGTTTTCCTTTATGTAGAACGTGTTAATACAAAATTACTAAGCACCTTTTACACAAAACGTTTGAGATTTAAGTGTTCAATGATTCACCATTGGACCATTGGACCAATTTCAGCACCATTGGACTTATCAAACATTTACAGAATTCACTAAATGATAACATGCATTGGTGATACCAATATGGAATTATCTTTAATAATACTATTAAAAGCTGGGGGAACAATGTTAGGTAACAGTCAAATCTTCAGATGGTGCCACTAGTGTGAGCACAAGCTTTTTCAG